CCCGCCTTTCAGAAGGGTGGTAACTGGCCTGGCATTTCCTGGGGGCTCCCACACCACTAGAAGCCCCACTAAGCCACCCATCCCCAGCAGGGTGCAGTTTTAGGTCATGCCCAGAGCCAAGAGCCTCCTAGCCATCCCCATAAGCTCTTGCCCTTACCTCCTGGGTTGTTCCTGCTGCAGCTCAGCTAGGCAATGCATCTGCCTGGCTGGCAGCAGCAGACTGCAGCCTTCATATACTAGGGTTTCAAAATGGCTGCTGCCATCAGGCACCCGCTGGATGCCTAACCCAGGCCTTAAGGTGGCAGGCACTAATAGTGCCCTGTCACATGGTGTTTCAGAGGGACACCGATTTGTTTTGGTGTTTCGAATCACCATCCCGTTTTGTTTCGGCCTAAACGGTTTTGGATCTGTTTCAGAATTCCAACAGTGTTCCTGTCATAGGCTATAATGGGGAACCACAAAACTGCCTATAACTTTGTCATTTCTTGCCTGATTCAGATGAAACTTGCAAGTGTTTCTGGGAAATGGTTCAAAGCAAAACTAGTATCACTTGCCGGCAGCAGCAGCAGCATGCTGTCATCCCGCATGCAGATCTGGGGGCTGCTCCTTTGGGGAGGAGTCTGGCACAACCCCCACAGCCCTCCTGGGAGTACAGGCCCCTGGATCTGCATTCAGGATGACAGCAAGCTGTCACTGCTGGCTGGGGACAGCGCAAGCACTGGGTTCTTCCTGGTGCTCAGTGCGGGCTGCACCAGACAGACTTGGGTGCTGGTGCTAGTTCCAGCCAGCAGCAACAGCATGCTGTCATTTGCGTGCTCTGCAGCTGGTGAATGCAGAGCTTTAAAAAAAAAGCCCCATAGTCACCAGTTCTGGCAGCAGTGATTGCGGCCTCTGAGGGCTCATGGCAGAACCCCCCGGCTTAGCAGGGATCACCCCCTGCCCCCCCAGCACTCATGTGGCAGCTGCTCTGTGGCGTGGGTGCAACACAGCCCAGCAGGGCACGCGCTGTATAGGAACTGGGGTGGCTCCAGCAGTCAGCCAGAGCTCCTGGTTCGATTCCCAGCTCTGATCCATCCCCCCAACTCTTACCGGGGGGTGCAGCCCCCCAGATCTGCATGAGGCGTTTCAGCAAGCTGCTGCTGCTGGCTAGGGAAACAGCCCAGAGCCGCCGCTATCCCCAGCTGGCAGCAGTAGCCTGCCTCATCCTGCATCATCTGGGGGCTGTATCCCCTGGGAAGAACTGGGAGAAGTGATCAGAGAGCTGGGGGAAAGATTGGGGAGCTGGGGGAATGTTCAGGTATTGAACCCAACCCCCGGTTCAATTCTCCAGCCCCCGGTTCAACTCCCCAGCACTGGGGTTGGAAGGAAACTCAGGGACAGATTGTTGTCACTGGCTAGCTACAGATGTCAATACCAGGGCAGTCCTTCCCCCTGCCCCTCCTCCCTCTCCCTCTTCCCCTGCAAGCCCGCCTTCAAAACAGCTCAAAAGAGCTCCAAAATGTTTCAGAAACATCTGAATTGTTTCGGAAAATTTCCAAAACTTTTTGGATGTCCCATTTTGTTTCAGAGCCCTGCGTTTCATTTTGGATTCGGTGTTTCAACTGTCAAAATGCCCAAATCCGAAACAAAACAAAAAGGTCGCCAAAATTTCGCCCAGCCTACTAAGCATACATTTCCCTACAGTCCCATTTCTCTGAATCCCATTCCCTGTCAGCCAGGTCTCAATGAGCACTGCATGGTGTACTAAATTTAACAGTTGTTTTGACTGCATGCATGAGGGCAGCGGGTAACAGATGTGACCAAATGAAGGAGATAAGACAACTATTACCACAGAATGGTTTTAATTTTACAAACAGCACTAAGCTAATACTTACTTGTTTGTGCAAACTTTTCCAGTGCTATTAGTGCAAAAAGCATCACTGTTGGATGAGACTGGAAATTCTAAAGGACAAGACAACAAGATGAAAGCACATTAAACACATGCCACAGTTTTGTAGAACAATTTCTTCTGGTTTAATATAACAAAAGTATGTTTCTTAACTTTCCATTTATATTTTTAAGGCTCTTTTTACAAGGCAAAGGAATTCAGGTACTAACATGACAACAGGCATAGAACAAGGAAAGCAAAGAGGATGAAAGCTCTGTATTGTTAAATAGCATCTAAATGATTTTTAAAAATACCTCTGCTGAGAACTGATGTTTTCTTTACCATTTTATAACAAACGATTCTAAAAATCAGCCAACAAACAAGTAGTCAAAGGTCCCAATTCACATTTTATACAAGTGGTAATATCTGTTGGTGCTTGCAGATGTGAAAAAAACAAAAACAAAAAAATCCCTGGTACTTTAAACTCGGCGCATTCCTGCACTGAGCCCTGCGCATGCCCAAAAGAGGTAGCGCATTATTTCAACCTGGATAAGTCAATCTCTATAGAGATTGAGCACTTTAGTGAGGCTTTTTGGTGCTTTTATTTAATAGCCAATTGAATCAGTTTTAGCTAAAAGCACCAAAACCTCCTGCTGAAGTGCCCTACCTATACAGACTCTGTGGAGCTGGGCTGAAGTAACATACTGCTTCTTCTGGTAAAACACAGTTTTTGTTTTTGTGGGGGGGGGGGGGGGGGGAAGGGTGTGATGAGAC